CAAACAACGGGTTGAGGGCACCCGCAAACAAAGCTGATGTTTATATAAAATTGTTTGCCTGGGACCCTGAAATACAGATCATCAAATTCGTAATAGCATATTAATGCAAAGCTGAAAGACCACTTCATACGAATGTACCATCACAGTGTGTGGCTCGCAGCTGTTGAACCTTCATTAATGTGATGACAACAACAAAAGTCAATATCTGTAAAAACCATTTTAGTTGCACTCATCCTTATAAAATGAAATTATACATTTAGAGAAATAAAAACGAGAAAAGCTTTTCAACAACGAAAAGAAAAGAAGGAATTGTGTATATGGCCGTATTTTAATTTTTTTTTATATCATCATTTACTTATGGATCAAATGGTGCATGGTGTTTTTTAGCTCCATCTCATTAGAAACGATTGCTCTAATGCTCTGAAGTCACTATCTGCGGTTAAATGACTACTGTCGAATGTGTCTGTTACATCCTCCCCCCTGCGACGTGTTATTGCTTTGTCTACTAAAAAACAGCCTGGTTAAAACCATTCAACCACCGCGTGACAGAGGGCCACAATGCTGTTTACGCTTGTCCGCGTGTCAGTAACCGGAATCAAGTATGCCAGGGTGGTTGTCAGAACGTGAGTGCATCCAAGATCTATAATCCCAGGTCAGCGCGGAAACCATTCCACATTCTTGGAACCAATCCTTATTCCGAATCTACTAAAGTGGTTGCCATCGGTGCTTCTCTCCATTAGCTAAGGCTGAATGCACGCGTTCTAGAAGTCCCATCGGCGTCAAACACCGCTACTTAAATTTTCTGAAAAATACATAAATACATACATTCTTCCAGTTTGACTCTACTAACTGTTGTTAATGAAGCTGTCTTGGTTTACTCTCCGTTGCTGATCAGTGATTCTTTTTCTTATCCCTGAACTTTTTCTTATTCAAACCCAATCCTTTACATTTATATGTGTACTACTTTCGGGTGTAAATATTTTTTCGGGCAAAATCAAACAAAAAACTTCGATCCATTGAGCTTTCGTTTCAACTTTAAAGGATGATAGGTGAGTGGCATGAACGAGACTGGAATCGCGAGTCAATGTCTTCTTATGGAGCTTCACCTTGTTCCCTTTCCATAAAATCACGCCGGCACACTTCCCGACCGAAGCGGTTCATTTCTCATTCGACATTACATTAGATATCGGATAAAAACAAGATATTTATTCAAGTTGAATCAGTTATACTTACGTTGGCGTCCTCATGTGACGACGCTATTTTGTGCAGATCCATCAGAGACTGGTTAACCATCCTTTCCAATGCCAGAGCATCTTCCATTGCTTCCACACAAGACGCCCAGGTGTCTTTCGGCGGTTGCTAAAATTCAATGAATGAAGACATAATATATAAACGAAAACGCTAGCATGAAGTTTATAAAAACTTTTTGCACAGGTTCCTGAAAATTCACAAGCATCCCTCTAATTATTACTTGTTCATTATGGTGGTAGTCGATGAAGCAGTGTTTCTAGATAAGTATCTGAAAGATTCATGAGTCAAGGCAGGAAATACAACAGACGGTAAAACAGTCTATTGCCGACACCTTCCGTTACATAGACCGTAGCATCATCAGGGCTAGGCATGACGATGCTATGGTTTACGCAGCGAAACGCGGCAACACTAAACTGCTTTAACGTCTATTCTATTTGATGCCCTGAACAATGAACCATTCAAACACAGACACATACAGATTTTAATATCCATTTATCAATTTATGACAAAACTCTCGTGCTCTTAAATGCCAAAGATATAATTTCTCAGCGTCAGAACTCTACGATATTAAACATCTGCAATGCGTAGGTGAATCTCAATCTTTATTAGCTACAGCGGTACCCTGCTAAGTAACTAATGGTTCCGCATAGAGTAGCAGTACTTTAACAGTTTCTCATGTACTTTCACAGCAATATTTACTTATTATTTTTGTGCACTTTATGCTAACTCGAGAAGATGAAAATGGAACACTGTATGCTCTGTCTTTTGAAGTTTACTGGTCACTACTTTTAACATACGACTGTAACGACTACCGTAATTAAAACACCACGACAGTATTTTCCCATAAAAGAATCCTCTGTCGCCATGAGAGTCAGTTTCGCTGTAATGTCTTTAATAATCATTATACCGATTTCGCTTATTCTCGTTATTTACTTTTTCCAGAACATAAGAACAGCCAAATGTAAATTAATAACCATTCCTCAACGGAATCACCGCTCTCTGTGTAACCTTTGATAAACTAAAACGGTGGCATCAAATATACTGGGTTCATCATTCAGTATTTATTAATACCATGCAGATGAATACTCAGTTCTGTTTTCAGCACCAGGTCACGTCATGTTCGCCGAAGAAACGTCATATACAGAATATTTCAATCTCAGACTCGCATCGGATAAGTACGGACCACCGTCAGTTCAGCTTCGCACTAGGAGTGCTTTTCCTGCAGACACGACATATTCAACTGAATTCTGAAATTTCTAAAAACGTAGATGGTTGTTCATATCTAGTGATGTCCACTAGGTAGTTTCCGCATACACAAATTATTGCCAAATGCAGAACAACATCCCCAAACATCTTGATAACACCACCCCATACTTCCTCTGCTTTGTAAGGAATAGAAGGCAAGATAAATGTTACGAAGTCAACTATGACTGAACACTGACTACCGATCAAATCATCTGCTTCCCCTGACTCATTATAGCACTGCCAATCGAACCTTCTTTTGCCGAAAATTACGGAATTAAAGCTCTCCATAAAAAGCTGGACTATAAGAACATGCCATCTTGGACAAACATGCTCTAAAAAGCTTAGCAGGCTGGATATGATAGCACAGGCTAGAGGAGAACCTGGCAGTTTCAAACACATTGTACATCAGCTCCTACAGCTTTACAGCAAGCTGTGAGTGAGTAAAGCAGCGAACAGACGAATAAGTCTACGAATTAATAGATAAATGAATGAATAAACAAGGAATTAATTATGAATTAATAAATAAACTAATGCACAAATAGAGAAATTGCCTTTTTCTCGGTTCGGTTCTTTGTTGACATAATGTCAAAGAGCACCAGTCTTGTCCACTTATTCGGAATTATGGAACAACCCTCAAATACGTTGATTAACCGCGAAATAAACAAGATTTTTGATGAATTAGTAGTCGCGAGCAATATGATGGAAGAGGCAGAAAGTGTGGCAATCACACCACTAGTTGCTGATCATAAAAGAACCGGAAAACCCTGACGACGGCTATGTCACATCGACCGAATGCGTTTAGAAAGCATCCTACGAAATGTGACATAGCTACATGGAACCCATCCTCTTCTGTAGATACGTATCATTTCCTTCGCGTGTCGTCATCTAAATCATCACCCTCAGT